GACTATTGGTTTTACCAGGATCGGGCTGGGGGTGGGGATGTGCGGGGCCTTGCGAAAACGGTTGATTCCGCGGTGGCTAGGAGACGATTTCCAGTGATCGATGGGAGAGAGTTCTGCACAAGTTGCAACATAGTGGAACACAGTTTCCGCGATGAGACTATTGGCTTTACCACGATCGGGGGTGGGGGTGGGGGTTGGAAGGTGCGCGGCTTTGAGAAAAGGGTGGAATCCGCGGTGGCTAGGAGAGGATTTCCAGTGAGTTAGTGGGAGAGAGTCCGCACAAATTGCATTATAGTCGAACACAGTGGCCACGATGAGACTATTGGCTTTACCAAAACCTTGGGTGGGGGTGGGGAGGTGCGGGGCTTGGCAAAAACGGTGGAATCCGCGATAGCTAGGAAACGATTTCCAGTGAGTCGTTGGGAGAGAGTTCCGCACAAATTGCAACATAGTAGAACACAGTGGCCGCGTTGAGACTATTGGCTTTACCACGATCGGGCGTGGTGGTGGGGAGGTGCGCGGCGTTGGGAAAATGGTAGACTCCGCGGTGGCTAGCAGACGATTTCCAGTGAGCCGATGAGAGAGAGTTGCGCAAAAATTGCAAAATTGTGGACACAGTGGCCGCGATGAAAGTATTGGCTTTACCACGATCGGGGGTTGGGGTGGAGAGTTAAGGCGTGTTGTGAAATGGGTGAAATCTGCGGTGGAGGGGAGACGATTTCCAGTGAGTTGATGGGCCAGAGTTCCGCACAAATTGCAACATAGTGGAACACAGTGTCCGCGATGAGACTATTGGCTTTACCACGTCGGGAGTGTGGCGGGTGAGATGCGGGGCGTTGCGAAAACGCTGGAATCAGCGATGGCTAGGAGAGGATTTCCAGTGAGTTGATGGGCAAGAGTTCCACACAAATTGCAACATAGTGGAACACAGTGGCCGCGATGAGACAGGTGGCTTTACCACAGTCTCGGGTGGGGGTGGGAAGGTGCGGGGCTTTGCGAAAACCGTGCAATCCGGGATGGCTAGGAGACGATTTCCAGTGAGTCGATGGGAGAGAGTTCCGCACAGATTGCAACATAGTGGAACACAGTGTCCGCGATGTTACTATTGGCCTTACCAGGATCAGGAGTTGGGGTGAGGAGGTGCGCGGCTTGTGAGAACGCTGGAATCCGCGATGGCTAGGAGATAATTTCCAGTGAGTTGATCAGAGAGAGTTCCGCACAAATTGCAACATAGTGGAACACAGTGGCCGGGATGAAACTATTGGCTTTACCACAATCGCGAGTTGGGGTGGGGAGTTGCGGCGCGTTGAGAAAAAGGTGAAATCCGCGGTGGAGAGGAGACGATTTCCAGTGAGTCAATTGGCAAGAGTTCCGCACAAATTGCAACATAGTGGAACACAGTGGCCAGGATGAAACTACTGGCTTTACCACGATCACGGGTGGGTGTGGGGAGGTGCCGGGCGTTGCGAAAACGGTGGAATCCGCGATGGCTAAGAGACGAATTCCAGTGAATCGATGGGCCAGAGTTCCGCACAAATTGGAACATAGTGGAACACAGTGGCCGCGATGTGACTATTGGCTTTACCACCATCGGGGGTGGGGGTGGGGAGGTGAGGGGCGTTGCGAAAACGGTGAAATCCGCTATGGCTAGAGAGGATTTCCAGTGAGTCAGTGGGAGAGAGTTACACAGAAATTGCAGTATAGTGGAACACAGTGACTGCGATGAGACTATTAGCTTTACGATAATCGCGGGTGAGGGTGGGGAAGTGCGGGGCGTTGCTAAATCGGTGAAATCCGCGGTGGTTAGGAGACGATTTCCAGTGAGTCGATGGGAGAGTTCCGCACAAATTGCAGCATACTGGAACACAGTTGCCGTGATGAGACTCTTAGGTTTAGCACAATCGCGGGTGAGCGTGGAGAGGTGCGGACCTTGCGAAAACGGTGGAATAGGCGGTGGCTAGCAGACGATTTCCAGTGAGTCGATGGGAGAGAGTTCCCCACCAATTGCAAAATAGTGGAACACATTGTCCGCGACGTGACTATTGGCTTTACCACCATCGGGGGTGGGGGTGGAGAGGTGAGAGGCATTGCGAAAACGGTGAAATCCGTTATGGCTAGAGAGGATTTCCAGTGAGTCAATGGGAGAGAGTTCCACAGAAATTGCAGTACAGTGGAACACAGTGACGGCGATGAGACTATTTGGCTTTCCTATGCCCCGGGATGGGGTTGAGGAGGTGAGGGGCGTTAGGAACACAGTGGAATCCTGCGGGGGCTGAGAGAATATTCGCTGTGCGACTATGGCAGGGCGTTGGGTGTAAAGTGGAACACAGTGTCCTCGATGAGACTATTGCCTTTACCACGATCCGGGGTGGGTGTGGGGTGGTGCGGGGCGTTGCGAAAACGATGGAATCCGCAATGGCTAGGAGAGGATTTCCAGTGAGTCGATGGGAGAGAGTTCCCCACCAATTGCAAAATAGTGGAACACGGTGGCCGCGTTGAGACTATTGGCTTTACCACGATTGGGCGTGGTGGTGGGGAGATGCGTGGCGTTGCGAAAACGGTGGAATCCGCGGTGGCTAGCAGATGATTTCCAGTGAGCCGATGGGAGAGAGTTCCGCAGAAATTGCAAAATTGTGGAACACAGTGGCCGCAATGAGACTATTGGCTTTACCACAATCGGGGGTTGGGGTGGAGAGTTGCCGCGCGTTTCGAAATGGGTGAAATCCGCGGTGGAGAGGAGACGATTTCCAGTGAGTTGATGGGCCAGAGTTCCGCACAAATTGCAACATAGTAGAACACAGTGGCTGCGATGAGGCTATTGGCTTTACCATGATCAGGGGTGGGGTGGGGCGGTGCGGGGGGGTTGGGAAAACGGTGGAATCCGCTATGCTTAGGAGAGGATTTGCAGTGAGTCCATCGGAGAGAGTTCCGCACAAATTGCAAAATTGTGGACACAGTGGCCGCGATGAGACTATTGGCTTTACCACGATCGGGGGTTGGGGTGGAGAGTTAAGGCGTGTTGTGAAATGGGTGAAATCCGCGGTGGAGAGGAGATGATTTCCAGTGAGTTGATGGGCCAGAGTTCCGCACAAATTGCAACATAGTGGAACACAGTGTCCGCGATGAGACTATTGGCTTTACCACGTCGGGAGTGTGGCGGGTGAGGTGCAGGGCGTTGCGAAAACGGTGGAATCCGCGGTTGCTAGGAGGCGATTTCCAGTGAGTCGATGGGAGAGAGTTCCACACAAATTGCAACATAGTGGAACACAGCGTCCCCAATGTGACTGTTGGCTTTACCAGGATCGGTTGTGGGGTTGGGGAGTTGTGGGGCGTTGCGAAAGGTGGAATCTGGGGTGGCTAGGGGAGGATTTCCAGTGAGTTGTTGCTAGAGAGTCCGCACAAATTGCGACATAGTCGAAAACAGTGGTCGCGATGAGACTATTGGCTTTCCTATGACCTGGTGTGGGGTTCTGGAGGTGAGGGGCATTGCGAAAACGGTAGAATCCGCGGTGTCTAGCAGATGATTTCCACTGAGTCGAAGTGAGAGTGTTCCGCACAAATTGCAATATAGTGGAACACAGTGTCCTTGATGAGACTATTGGCTTTACCAGGATAGGGGGTGGGGATGGGGAGGTGTGGGGCGTTGAGAACGCGGTGGAATCCGGTGGGGGCTCAGAGACTAATCACTGTGCGAATATGGGAGGGCGCTGGATCCGAAGTGGAACACAGTGGCCGCGATGACACTCTCCGCTCTGAAGCAATGGGAGGGCGATACCGGCCGGTGGCAATGAGACTACAGCTGATGTGACTTGACGACAGCGTTGAGGACAAAGTGAGCGCGGGGATAGGCTAGGGGACAATTGTAAATGGGCCGACGGGAGGGCGATGCGCGCACAGGAAGACCTGTGGGGGCGATGGGACAGAGTGGGTCAAAGTTACACCCGGTGGTAGGGATGAGACCCTGGGCGTTGGGAGTATGGAAGAGCTGAAGAAAAGTGAAAGACCACGGTGCGAATGGGATTATTTGCGATGGGACGCTGGGACAGCGTCGTGCACAACCTGAAATCGGGCGGTGGGTTGAGGCTGTTGCGAATGAGAAGGTGGAAAAGTATTGCGGGCAAAGTGAAAGCTGGCGTCCGCGCTGAGACAATAGGCGATGGGGCCGTGGGGGCGGTGTTGCGCTGTGGGGGCCGCGGTGGTTAAGACTTCGCTGTGGGGCGATGGGAGGGCGTTGTGCTCAAAGTGAAACTCTGTGACAGCGCTGAGACTATTGGCTGTGGGCGATGGGAGGGCGTTTCTCACACAAGGCCATTTCTCACTGGACTTGGCTTTGAGACGTTGGGAGACCTTTGAGAACAAAGTGGAAGATGGCGGTAGCGGAAAGGCTACTGGCGGTGGGACGGTGGACAGCGTCGAGGGCAGAGTTAAACCTGGCGGGGGGATGAGACCATGGGCGATCGGACGGTGGACGGTGTGGTCCACATAGGGGACCCTGACAGCGGCGACGAGACTATTCGCTGTGGCAAGATGGAAAGGCGTTGTGCCCAGTGAAACACGATGGCAGCGATGTGACCTTCGGTGAGAGTTGATGGGACGGCGTTGCAGACACAGTGAAAGCGGGTCTAGGCGATGAGACAATGGGCTTGGGAAGGCGGAACCTCGGTGTGGACGTACTTAAATCCGGCGCTGGGTTGAGATTGTGAGAGATGGGAAGATGCGAGGGCCTTGAGCACCAAGGGGAGCTAGGGGGAGCCTTTTTGGACAAGGGGAGAAACAGCCAAGGCGATGGGACCCTGGGAGTGCGTTGCAGACGGAGAACTCAGCGGCGGTCAGGGGACAAATAACCGTGGGACGGTTTGGGGGACTTCCTGGGGGTAAGACGGGACCAGGGAACTGTTGGCCCCTGGAATGCTCTGGAAGTTTCAGGGTTTCTTTTAAGTATTCGGCCATAAAGTGGGGGAGTAAGTATTGAAGAGCTGAAAAGTGGGAATATTTTTTAAAAAACACACTCTTTACTTTTAAAATTAGTTTTATATTTCATAAATATACTTATTTTAAATTAATTCACGTTTTCAACTTTGTAATAAACTTATATAATGCTTCTTAAATATTAAGTGTAGACTATTGAAATATGTTTTATATTTAACAATAGCATTTTAGTAAGTTTTATTTAAACTATATTTTCTTTGTACTAAAGCAAGTATATAGTATAGTTTTAGTTTTCTATCTTTAATAGATGAAAACTTGTTAATATTTTCAAGATTATTTTCACTTATTGTTAATTGAGGGATTACCATATCTGACAATTTTTAATGACCCCGTGATGATCTTAAGTAATGTTTAACTCATGTTCCTGAAACCTTTTCCCAGGACTACAGTGTTGGAAATGAGAGTTGAAGTGTATAAGAAACTAAGGACATGTAGAAGGTCAGAACTTTTCATTTTCTGTAGTATTTTATAAACTGAATGGAATTTGCCCAACATTTATTGGCATCCAGAGGCTTACTTTGTAAGACTCTCAAATGTAAGGTGGTGTATATTTTCCCCCAGTTGAAAAAAAGACAAAAGAACCCTACATCATATAGCGGGGCCCTACAGCATGAGCTGTCTGATACCTTTAAAGAAGGGAAGGAGACAAGAGCAGGTAAACTGTGCGGATACATTGACAGTATGCCTGTAAGTTGGACATTCCACATGTCTTCCATCTGTTTTAAATTCCTCAAAGGCAGGGGCCGGAAACTAGTATTCTGCAGGCTTGTTTTGCATCAGATGTCTCCAGGGTGCTCTGCAATTTTTAATATGTGTTGTCACATAAATCAAGTTGACATTGAAACTGCCACATTGACTTTTGTTTCATAAATAATGTATTTCCCATATAAATGTTAAAATGAGTAAATAATGCATAAATCATTTAAAACAGCTTGCAGTCTTTAACTGTCTATTGAAATGCAATGCATTGCATTGTCAGTTACTTCTAGAGCCTCTGCTGGCTGAAACGTCTCAGGTCAGTGTCACATAGTCCATTCCCAGAGCCGCAGGTGGGGAGATGTTCAGTCACGGAGGTACCCTGTTAGGCTGTTGAGGAAAGAAAAGTTCCTGAGCATTTCCGCTCTGACGACTGCCCAGGCACAGCTGTTGTAGTCCTTGGACAGTAGGTACTCCACGAGGTTGAAATAATATTTCTTCAGGTGAGGAACGGTCATGTCTCCCATAGTGAAGTTTTTCTTCTGCATGATTTCCTTCTGGATTGGCTCCAGATGATCCATCTGCCCCTGGAGTTCCACAAGGAGGTCCTCAATGATGGTCTCAGACCAGCCAGTGCTGGAGAAGTCTCTGGTGAGAATTCCGAAGATCTGCTGGAGCATCTCATAGATGACCAATACGGCATCTTCCTTCTGGAACTGCTGTGCTTGCTTCATCTCCTCAGGGACCTGGAAGTCCATCCTGACCTCCAGGCAATGTTGAGGAGTTGAAGGTAACTGCTGCAGGAGTTTCTGACACTCCGTATCACTCCTTCTTTGTTGGAATCGAAGCAAGCTGTAGTTCCTGGAGAGAGCTGTGGTGGAGAAACACAGCAGGACAACCATGCAGTTACCCAGGGAAAGAATCATGTAAATATGCACCAGTATAGAAGTAAAGAAAATTCAGATCAGCAATATTCATAAGAGTCCCAAACTAGTTGCAGCCCAAAAACCCATTAAAATTGCATAAATACTTTATCTATCCTGATAATAGGGTTACTAATAACAATAAAAAGTAAGAACCACAACTAAATACACAAATATAGCAGTGATTGAAAGATACTCACCTCAGAAGAAAATGTATACTACTTATATAAATTTAAAGATAGCCCAAACTAGACTGAAGACATTTTGCTCAGCAACCTAGAGAGCTCCTGTGAAGATTGAGGACCATGATGGGAAGTCCGTCTCCAGCTTGAGGGAAGAGCGTGTCCTCCCACCTTGCAGCTGCGGCCTGGCTCTCGCCCTCTCTCAGCACCTGAGGCTGACTCTGCCCAGGCCGGGGTTGCCCTGTGCTCACAGCCAACAGCTGGGGGCCAGCGCCCCTCCTCAGCCTCCCACCATGTGTGGAGATGGACAATTTGCAGAGAGATCGAAGGGCCCCTGGTCACAGCCTCTTCTCTCCTCCCTTTCCTCACACTGAGGTCATCATTCACAGGCCATGGACAATACTCATCGCCCCGTGTGTCTCCTGCTCACTTCAGATGCAGCTGGGACTAGGTGTTTTGGTTGGGGCCTTGGCTAACTCTCCTAACTCCTCTAGGACGTACCTAACCAGAGGATCCTACTACACTCTGCACCCCTGTCACTCTCAGAACGCTCCCACCAGAGGGTCGATGGCCCAGGAACAGGCAGGAGCAGCCCATGCCTTGTTTTCAGTGTTTGCTGCCTGGACCCGCTGCTGCTGCTAACTCAGACTGGCCCTTTCAGGACATGCCTGTCTGCATCAAGCCTGCATTTACTTTTCCCTTCTGATTCCAGGTTGTTCTCTGAGCTGGACTCTGAATTATCAGAATCACTATCAGAGGTGCATTGAGTCAGGCCAACCTAAGTTTGGGAAAACAGTGAAAAGGACAACACATTGGCTGCAGCTGTTGAACAAATCTCAGCAGGCCTCTGCGCCACCCAGCTGACATGAGGGCACTCTCACTGTGTAAGTTCTGGGTGAGTTTCCTGTCTCTGAGGCAGTTTCCGAATCTTCTTTAAGGCGAAACAGCCCAAAGCAAAGCCATCTACATACTTAAAGCCTACAAGTGACTTTGAGTTTTGTTACATCGTCAGAGATTGTGTAATGAACCCCAGAAGGCAAAAATAGCAACGAAGCTGATGCAACAAGTGAAAGGGAAACTAAATGCAAGCTGCCAAATGGATTTCAGGATCCAGGCTGGGAATCCCCTCCTGGCTGGGTTGAGTGCACAGCGCAGAGCATCCTCCTGACTGCCTCCCAGACGCCTGTGTCTTCCTGGCTGAAACTCTAAGCTCCTAAACTCCAGGGAGAACCAAGAATCCAGTGAGGGTGGGGGTGAGCCCTTGTAGGCAGCTGGGCTGTGTGCCATGTAGGAATGTTTCCGTCTAGAACTCTGGGTATTGTTGCAACAGGCTTGGCCTCATCATCCCAGGGAATGGCTATTTCTCCTCTTGCTGTGCAGTGGATGAGCTGCAGGAATCTGTCTCTGAACAGTTCTCTGGGAACTGCCTCATCTTCCTGACTACAGACCCACAACGTCAGGAAATAATCTTCAAACCCGATTCAAGTAGAAGAGTTAACGTAAGGAATACTTGGGTAGTGTCTAGTACCATTCTGAGCATGTGCTACAAATTAAAGCAATTAATCTTACCACACTTACAAGATAAGATTTTATGAGTATCTTAGTTTTGCAGTTAAGATATAATGCAGCAGTTTATAACTAGGCAATCTATTTTTATGTACTAATGAAGAAAAATCTTAAAGCTCTATTTGCAAGTAAATATAAATAAATGAGAAACTGAAGTATATGAAAAATTGATATTTATGTGATATACGTTAGTATGTCCATATGTGTAGGTTTATCAACTACATATGAAAATGTCTAGAAGGATACCCATTGAATTGTTTACAGTATAGGATTAGGGTGCATCCTCCTAGATGTCAAGGGTAGGCATTCGTTTGTGTGAATTATTTAAAAGTTTAGCAATGATATGTGTGTTTAATATATATAAATAAGCATAAGAAACCCTCTTTAATTCTTTTGAGTCATATTTATCATGGCAGCTGCTGGTTCTCACATCTCTTAGCTGTCTCTGCAATCCACAGCCTGCCTTGTTCTTCTTGCCTCCATTGGAACAGTTTTTAGGAAGACTCTTTTCTCAGGAGTGGCCAAGTGTAGAAAACTTGCTCTCCCTTCCTCATCCTACTCCAGGATCCTAGATTCTACATTTGCAGATTGACGTCCCATGATGTATGTGGTTCTCCACTAATCCTTGAAGGCGCTCCAGTTCCTACAGGCCCCAAATGGGCAACTGTGTCCATGACCTGGGCTTTTCTTCACTCATCTCCCTCCATCCTCTAATCTATGTCTCAAGAATCACATCCAGTCTCTCCTCAAATTGTCCCTTATTCCGTCTATGGCCCAGGGTGGGTAACCCTGTTCCCTCTTTATTCAGGTGACTTCAGTGTAGGTTTATCTTGCAGGATCAGTCTTTGGATTAGATTTTATTCAAAGGTGTGTGCAAGCCAGTTTGCTTTTTTAAAATTACTTTTACTTCTACTACTTGAAAACAAATAGTAGTCTTCTACAAAGTATAATACAAAACAACTACCTTATGAACGATAAAGATTTAAATGCTATGACCAGCCTAAATATTTCAAATAATTTAAGTAAATAAATATTACAACTTTTAAAGATATGGAAAATGGATTCTAAACACTGTTTTAAACAGCTATTGTAACATAACATTTAATATACATTTAAATAATCCCATATGTTACCTATAACATATTTTTCATCTGACACAAAAATAGAGTTAAAGGTTGCACTTTGACTCTTAGAAAATAGCTATGTAGTTGAACAGATGAACTGTTTTCAGATTCAATGTCTTCTTTATTTCCTGAAATTTCCGATGAGCTTGTTGGCCAAGACAAGCTCCTTCTGATTTCCACACTGACAACCTCCCAGGCATAGCAGCTGTATTCTTTCTCTTTGAGATACACACTGATTCACTGGAAGTAACTCTTCACAGCCAATCCGGAGTTCTCACTCCCTAGAGGTGACTGTTCCATCATCCTTCCCTCCCTCATAGACGTGTCCAGCTCCTCCAACTGCTGATCAAGTCCCACGAGGAATCTGTCCAGGAGGCTCTCGTCCCGACCTGCAGAGGAGCCCGAGGTGCTGAAGAGCTGGAAGGTCAGCTGGAGCGACTCGTGCACACCAGCTGTGGCTTCTGTCTTCTCAAGCCTGGCCCGGTCCACCAGGGTCTGAGGAAATCTGGTCTGTCCTGTCCCTCAGACAGGACACGATTCACACTCTCTCCATCTGACTCCAACGCGTGAAGCTTTCCAGATTGCTGCGGCTCACAGGCAGCTCGAAGGCCAGAGAGCACGTGGGGCTGGAGCAGAGCATCCCCAGGGCCAGCAGCACAGAGACGGGGAGGGCCACGGGGACGCTGGGGGCTCTGCAGGGCTGCCTGGAGGGAGGTCTAGGCAAGTTCTGAGGACTTGGGGTGATGGGCGGCTCTTAAAGAGTGAGCAGAGAAGCTTTCCTTTTCTGGGTTTTTCCACATTTCCCCTTTCCTTTCTTTTTCTACCCTTTGTAGTGAAATGAATTATAAATGCTCATTTTTGCCATGAGTGCCTGGGGTGGGGACATCAAATCCTGCGTGCCACTGTGGTTGATAGCTACACAGTTGTATAGCCTGCTTCTCACACCTCCTTAGTTGTTCCTGGGAGAAGCGTCTGGTGAAATTCAGAGAAGGCAGAAATATTCATATAATATATATATGGTGGCTTTTCCAGGTCACTAAGAGATATTCAGCATAAAAAGAGCTTATAAAAGAAGCTTTTGATTTTTCTCAGTTTTTCCTTATTTACTCTTTTCTCCCTTCTTAAAAAAAATTCAATGTGTATGTACCTTTACGATATCACCTGAGTAGGCCTTAAGCTCACTGGAGACATTATAGGGAACAATATCACTGATATTATTTGTTAAAAATGGATTATGTTGCAACTATAATCCACCAGGCACTTTTTTAGGTGCTGGTAGTCCTAAAAAATTCAATTTTGCCTTTGTTTATTTCTCCTTCTCCTCTACCACTACAATATTTCACAGGAAACTTTGCCTCAGTCGTTGTGTGATAGTCCAGATAATTTCATCCCCGTAAATATTTCACTGGGAAGTGATAACCTACCATACACTCAGGGATACTGAGGTTGCAATTACATTCAACCCTTGTAATGACATGTCTTTACCAATTCTGTAAGGTACAGATAATTTTTAATAATATTAATGACAAATTTTTTTTCATTTATTTTTATTAGTTGGAGGCTAATTACTTTACAGTATTGTAGTGGTTTTTGTCATACATTGACTTGAATCAGCCATGGATTTACATGTGTTCCCCATCCCGATCCCCCCTCCCACCTCCCTCTCTACCCGATCCCTCTGGGTCTTCCCAGTGCACCAGGCCCGAGCACTTGTCTCATGCATCCAACCTAGGCTGGTGATCTGTTTCACCNTTCTCCTCTAGGAGGTTTATAGTTTCTGGTCTTACATTTAGATCTTTAATCCATTTTGAGTTTATTTTTGTGTATGGTGTTAGAAGGTGTTCTAGTTTCATTCTTTTCAAGTGGTTGACCAGTTTTCCCAGCACCACTTGTTAAAGAGGTTGTCTTTTTTCCATTGTATATCCTTGCCTCCTTTGTCGAAGATAAGGTGTCCATAGGTTCGTGGATTTATCTCTGGGCTTTCAATTCTGTTCCATTGATCTATATTTCTGTCTTTGTGCCAGTACCATACTGTCTTGATGACTGTGACTTTGTAGTATAGTTAATGACAAAATTTTACATGCATCCTCTCAGCAAAGTGTTTTCAATAAACAATACATTAACCTTCACAGCTTCCCTATGAGATCATTACTATAGTTACTAACATGTTTGCAAATAAGGAAACTGAAAACTCAGAGAGATTACTTAACTTGCTAACAGTCAAGATTAACTGCATAAGTGGTACTTGACCACTGTACTATTCAGCCTCCATGTTATTCCTCATTAACCTTAAGCAGTCTCCTTTAGCTACCCTATGTACATTGGAATTAAGTAATCCATCTAATTATGTAACATTTGACTGTCCTGATAGATTGTAAGCTCCCTAAAGGCAGTAATGGCACGTGTGGAATATCCAGGAAGGTGCCTGTCCTCCGACTCTTTGCGACCCCATGGACTATAGCCTACAAGGCTCCTCTGTCCACGGAATTTTCCAGGCAAGAGAACTGGAGTGTGTTGCCATTTCCTTCTCCAGGGGATCTTCTCAACCCAGGGATCGAACTCAGGTCTCCCTCATTGCAGGCAGACGCTTTACCATCTGAGCTACCAGGGAATCCCCAGTATTTGAAGACTCTATCCAAAAATGATAATCTTTTGAAAACAAAGATAGTAAGAGTAAATTTAAATGGATTTTTAGCTTTCTGGATAACTTCTCAAAATATTTTCTCAGATGGAAACAGGGACTCTCAAAGTTCAGTTGTTGCTAAGTTGCTTCACCTGTGTCCAACTGTTTGTGAAGCTATGGACCATAGTCTGCCAGGCTCCTCTGTAGATCTCAACAAAACACCACTTGAAATGTAGGACTGGAAGTTAGCAAGTGCAATGGGAACTGTGTCCTCTTCCATTGTAGTGTAATGATTGTAATGTTCCTGGAATGAACAAACGACACTTTTGTGACAAAGAAGAATAGGAATTGGAGAGGAAGAACTTACTAAATTCCTCTAAGATAGGAAGCACTTTGTCAGAGCAGACAGCTCAGTCCAGTGCTTGAGACAGTGGACACGGGGACAAGATTGCCTAGGATGATGTCCCAGCTCCATCCTGCACTGGCCTTGTGACCTTCAGCACCCTGGTTTTCCTCTTGTGTAGAAATGATAATCATATTCGTTTCACTGGATTGTTGTGAAGCTTGAATGATGTAGCATGCTTCTGACTATGCCTGGACAAAGTATATAAGCATTCAGTATCTGTTAGCCATTCCCACGAGGGGGAAAATTCCCACGTCCAACTATGGAAACTGGATCAATTTTCCCTGAGATGACCTGCTTCTCTTCCTTTAATTCTCAGCTTACTGGTCAACATTATTACCTAATCTCATCTCTTATGTGAACATGACGTCCTGTCCAAATCACTTCTACCTAGTAGCTTCCAGGTAACAGCTGAGCTCACACATGAATAAAATGACTGTCCAATCTATAACCCAGTCTCTTTCATGATGATTTAATAGGTCTATATCCTCAGAATCAGATAACATCCATGAAGAGTGAGAAATATAAACAGACAAATTAAAATAAATAAATAGATACTGGGATTTAGCAAAGCTGACAACTAGCCTCTTAGATAACACTCTGCCTAAGAGCCTGCTACCCTCCTCTGGCTCTGTCTGTGGCTAAGCAGTCTCACATGGGGTGGTCTGAAATCTGTCACTCTGTAGAGCTCTTCATCCCCATTTTTGTAGTTAGGGGACATTTTGTCATTTAAACAGAGAAGATGTCACTATAGTTGTTTGCAGTTACATTGTTTACTTTCCTTTTACCTTTGTGCATTACTTTTTCATTCACTGCTTACTTTTACTTTCTAGGAATGTTCAATGAGAGTGGAAAGTTTTGATATCTTGAAAAATCACAGAAGAAATACATTTCCTCTTCTTTTCACTTACATTTTCTCTTTCTCTATTTTTGCAACAAACTTCCAAATTGAAATAGAAAAGACTGCAGAAGCATTAGGACAGCTTTTACAAAGTGAAATACAAATGACAAAAAAGAGGTAACAATATGAATGTTATATAAAAGTGGCAAAGAAAAGCGGGTTGCTTAGACATAGCAAGGACAATTACCTGGACTAATACAGAGAGGCTGCCTGATAGGGCCCACATGGGGTCTCATTGATGAGATGGCTCATTATGTCGACCTTGCAAACAGAGAATAAAATCACAGTGATCTGTGAGACTGACCAAATTGTCCAAAGGGCATTCTGTTTTCTCACTGGTGCCTATCTCCTCAAAGCTACAAGACCACCAGATTCTAGACCTCCAGCTATATGACCACAGGACTCAACTATAGGTGAAAAATTAACCATCCTGTCAGAAAATTTTTCATTGCTGGGGTATAAGTAGGATCCTGCCAGAAAGGGAGGAAGCTGGTTCTCCAAAAGGGCCAGTCACCCTCTCCTTTCCCTCTAGTAAATTTCCCTTTTCCTGCCTGACTGCCCAACTCCCTTTCTTTTTCTCTGACTCGCGTTACACTCCCGAAAAGCAGCAAAGACACATTCTAAACACCTGAACACTTGGAGGGAGCGGTGGTTACACTTTATTTCCTTGAAAGTGAATTTTGGAGGATTGATCATCTGAAAGAGGAGAGTGAAAATGTTGGCATAAAACTCAACATTCAGAAAACTAAGATCATGGCATTTGGTCCCATCACTTCATGGCAAATAGATGGAGAAACAGTGACAGACTTTATTTTGGGGGGCTCCAAAATCAGTGCAGATGGTGACTGCAGCCATGAAATTAAAAGACACTTGCTCCTTGGAAGAAGAGTTATGACCAACCTAGACAGCATATTAAAAGCAAAGACATTACTTTGCCAACAAAGGTCTGTCTAGTCAAAGCAATGATTTCTCTAGTAGTCATGTGTGGATGTGAGAGTTGGACTATAAAGAAAGCTGAGCACCAAAGAATTGATGCTTTTGACCTGACGTATTGGAGAAGACT